CGCAACCAGCTATGGGGCCTAAATGGTGCTTGAAGTAACAAGTTGCGTTCCAGTCTGCCCATGAAGACATTGGCATAAGACGGTGCCATTTTTGTACCCATAGCAGTGCCATTAACTTGCAGGTAATATTCTCCATTAAACATGAAGTTGTTGAACTTGAGAACATGTTCAAGGAGCTTAGCAAGGGACTCGGTAGAAGCCATTTTGAGAGAATGAAACACTGTACGTAATTAATTAGCATAATTAATTCGTTCAATTATGTAAATCGCACTTCACCCGAGTATACCCGATAGACCGGACGCATTTCATAGCGGTCCGGATTTCTTTCTTTATTAGTGTTCTTAAAAATTTCCAATTCAACATGTAATTAAGTATGTAAATATCTAGTGTTTAGTAGTTTAGTAGTAGTGCTAGTTTTTTTTTGTTTCTCTTTTTCCTTTGTTCTTATGACTTTTTAACTTTTTTCTTTGTCCTGAGGAAGGGACAGGGCGTCCCGAAAATTTGACAATTTTTATTGTTCGTGTCGTTGGTCATTTTTAGTGCTTTATATAAATTTCCATCCGTGACCTTGTATCTACTTGGTAGATCCGACATTTTGGATATACAGTGTTGTTGGTTTTTTAATGCTTTTTATATCCTTTTCGCCAACTGTATCTTCACAGATCCACCCGTATATCCATCATTTCTTTATTTATATTTTCTGTTCTTATCATTTATTTTTGGTTTTCTTTCATCATTTGACTTTTTTACTATTTATTTTGTTTCCAACCTTTGCAAATAAGTTCTTTCCGCTTTTCCCTTTCGATTTTTACTCACGTACCGTTTGTTTTTAATATTTTTGAATTAGTGCACGAGTTATCTACGAATTTCGTTAGAATACAGAACAATCGTTCGTTGAATCTTTCGACTTCATACGACTAAAAACTTAAAAGTAGTCTTATCATTTTTGCAATTGTAATTTCCTTTCAAATATGTCTATTAAAGATAACCCAACATTCAAACTTCTAAAGAAAGAACACCAAAAATCAATAAAAACTGAACACCGGGCCTCCAATTTACAGACCTACTTAGAGTGTGACATTATACCGAAAGGCTATCAGATAAATGTTACACCTAACATAGGGCCAATCTCCAAACGCTTTCAGGAACGCTGGGACGTTATTACAAGGAGATGTTCTAAACAATTGATGTCACTCTGTCTTTCTTGGGATATCCACAAGTTAGGACAATTGAAGAGTGAGATCAAGTCCTTAGAATCATCCCTCAACAATACCATGTCCCACGCAGATCTTGATGAAGCCCAGCCCTAACAAATAAAGTCAACAAGACTAAGAAAAAGAAATTTCTCCGCGACAATGTTCCACAGTCTAGGAACAACTGGTCAGAGGTCAAAGTTAACAAAACACGCAAACCCCGCTCGAGACGCTTCAAACGCACTAAGACAATCGCGAGGGACGGACCCATACAAACTCCTAACGTCTGCCCAGTGCTCAATACATCTAGTGCTCCTCTCTCCGAATCGGAGACCTCACTTCTCTCAAAGGGGCTAAATTTCTGCCCCACGCCACATGAGGTCGACGAAAAACAAGTCAGAGAGGACACCCGAGCATTCTTCCGGAGACTTCGTTTGAAGGAGCACTTCTCTAGAAAAGACTCCGAAGCAAATTCATACGACTCTTCCAAGCCAGATTTGCACGACCATGGGGAACACAAACTCTATAAGCCCAAGAGTGCCTGGGAACCTACACCGGGCAAGTGCGGCGCGCTTGAGTCGTATATTGATGCCGTTGAGTCAGACATAGAGAAGCTCCTTTCAATGCCAGACAAAACTCTCGACAATTTGAGTAAGGAGGAGAGATCTGCCTTACAATTATTAAAAAATCGGGATGACATTGTAATTAAGAAAGCAGACAAAGGCTCTACAGTTGTAGTAATGGATAAAGAGACTTACATGGCGGAGGCCCATAGACAACTCTCAGACGAACGTTTCTATAAGAAACTGGACTCTGACCCTACTAAAGAATTCTCCAAGATACTAATTTTTCAGGCTCAAGAGGACATTTGAATGGAAATAAGCATTGTTAATTCATAATACGTTGTCGATATATCTGAATGTTGAACTGAATGCTACAGCAAGTATCTTATCGTGCTAGGTTTTTTTTTACAATTTCAGCTTCACATGAAAAAAATATGTCTGTCTTTTATTAAATTTCTGATATAGAATCTCATTTGCATCATCCTAGAAACAGTTTTACATTTAATCGGTGAATAACATAATGAATAAAAAACAGCTGCATCCCTTCAATACTTTCTTCTTTGGACAGAGACATGACAATTTCATTGTTTATGACTTCAAACATGATGCAACCTTAAAAAAATTCTATTTTGTTTTTAAATGTAAAATTATCGTCTTTTTTCTTTAGAATAACGTCTTTAAAAATAATTAAATAAATGATATTATTGGCAACTGTAATGCCCGGCTAGAATAAGGGTCCCCTTACACGTCTGTAGACAGAGTTAGAATTTATGAATCCTGATTAAAGTTGACTAGCACAAGTGTTAAAAACGATAGATGGGAGATATTCTGTGTTACTCTACAAGAGAATTATGCCCTCTAACTGAATTTTATTGGTGATTGTGTGTAGTTTATCCGTTTTTGTATAAATTGCGATAAAGAGTTGAAAATACCCTTTTTTATAGGCAAGTTGAATTTCTCCGAAAATATTCTCTTAAAAATAAAAATTAAACCTGTCCCCAGCAATTTATATGTACCAGAGATCAAGATTAGTTGATTTATGTAACAAACTTTGCACAATAATTTTGTTTTGACTTGTGCCAAAGCGATGTTTCTGCAGTATTTTAAGAATATCATAAATGTCGGCCACATGATCAACACAGTCATATGATATCAGAAAAATGCTTTAATATTTACTACCTGATTAAACTATTACATGTATATCAAGTTGACTGCAATTTCAAACAAGGATTACATAATGAAATTGAAATCTAGCTCAAAATAAAATGTATATTTTTACGGCATTTTAAGCCTTCAGACAACCATATCAAAACTTCGTGGGTATATATATTACAAAACACCCTGCATGTTTGAATATTTTTTTTATTCTTATTTCACGATCTATTGTAGAAGCAAAGTATTAATAAATCACACAGACATTCCAGAGTCGTTGGGATTTAATTTTGTTTAAATTATAAACAGCGAACGTGTATTACGACTGATGTTCACTCTAAAGATAAGGCATGAAATTTCAGTATAAAATATTTTAAACCAGGAAGACTTATCTGCAGGCCTTATATTAATCACACGTTTTTAAAAAACAAGAAGACTTATCTATATATAGGCCTTGTATTGATCACATGTCTCGGGGTTTTTTTGCTTGCTTTTCTTAAAAGGTAATGTATGAAATAGTTTCTCAACAAATAACTTTGGATCAGAAAGCTCTCTTCTACATTAATATTTTTCATTATAACCTACGGTAATAAAAGAAAAATGAATTTTATCTTACAACTATGTTATTTTCAAAATGGCGCTCAAACAACATAAATGTTGACAGGATGTCATTGTTTATTCGAATGATATCAAAATGTACGTAAAAGTTTTTATCTTGTAATGTTGTTTTATTTGTAAAACTCGCTATATATTACTTAGAGTTATAAGAAAGAGTGTCTTTACAGATGTTTGAACTTAAAGTATTGCATACTCAATCGAAATCGAAAGTAGGAATCTGAAATTATGTAGTCATTAAATCCAGGTAAAATTGTCTGAAATCAGTAAAATGGTTGCTGGTTTTTCATTTTTTTCAATGCATCGTTACTTTTATTTGTTAAAAAAGTTTTGATGTTTTTGAAAGCAGTGGTACATATATGCTTAGCTAGGCGATACATCCTCGAAGATTACGTTTTTTTCTCCTAGGTGTGACTGTGAAAAAACTTTTTTTTATATGAGCATTTGTCATTCAAAAATTTCGTTAATTCACCCATGTAATATGACACAATTGTACAGTGAGATTTGCAATTTTTACCCCATTCTGTAAGTCCTTTGAAATTAAATTGTAAATTTAATATGAAATTTCTAAACAATTTAGAGGTTCTAACGACGTCAGCAAGGACTTGGATTTCTTTTCCAGTATTCAATCCCTGGAAAAACTGGTACAGATCTAGGAAATATTTAAAAGGGCACCTGAAAATGAACTGCATTCATGGTCCTCTTTTTAAATGCAAAGACAAGATTGAAAGAGACAAGTGAGTTGAAAATTAATGTCAATTAGTAGTTAGGGTGTTCAAAGTTGAATTGTGGCATTGTGTGATAGAAGTTGAGTTCGACAAGCAGAATATGCTATTATAATCAAGTAAAGATCTTTCACTATGTATAGATCTATTTACAATATTATATACATTAAGGTCACCTGTTCATGATATTATACAATCGAATAAACAAGAGTGGTTTAACAGATAAATGTATGATATAGAAAATGCGTACCTAGTAAAACACTGACGTCTTGAAACTAAATGACTGGGTGATCATATAATGTCAATTTTATTTTCGGAAAATTTGACATATATTCAATATATTAAATTAAAAATATCAACACTACTTTTGTTGTTTAATGTTCCTTATAGTATAGACTACAGCGTAATAATTTTATCGCATCAGTCCACGAGCTTTTCGAACAACCCATTCGTACATTGTGCACACATAACCTGAGTACAAGGAACGTATCCCGTACATACTTTTTTAATTTAAAGAAAAGTTACGATATACCTTCTACAACATTATTCCGGTTACCCTCATCTTTGTTTACTTAGCATGTAATTATAAGTGAAATTTTATAACAGCAAAGTATTGAATATGCTTGACTCTGAAAATACTGTGGCCGAAATTTGCGGTACTTCTGTAATGTTATAATCAATTGTATGTACATGTATATATATTCATGAATTGAAAACTCTGTGTTACAGTATAAACATGTTATTCTTTTGTTTTGTTTCTTTTCCAGATGGCTTTCGTTAATTTAAATCACCACATGTAAAAAGAAGTTTCTCAACAATGAGTACTACAGGTTGTTCACTGAGAGAACTGAAGAGAAATTTTGATTTAGTTTCTCATAGCCACGACAACGATGAGCTTTACACAATTGCTGGAAGTCTTACACCAACACAGATGACAGCCAGTGAATGCCGTCAATATGTAGCAGAATTTGAGGAGAAACATTTGTTTTATTTTACTTTATATAAACCAAAACACCAAAATGTCTCCCAAACATGGATTAGAAGGGTCAAAGAGGATCTTAAAAACGCCAAACGGAGCGGAGCGGCTCCAACACTGAGAGAAATATATGCAGTGAGCGAAATAATCAACAGTGACATTTTTCTTTTGTTCGAGGGTGGAGATAAAACGATAAAAGCGTTGCAAATTCGATCTGTGATTCGAGAAAACGATGCCGATAAAGCGCCTCTGATACTGCTTTTGATTTTAAAAACAAAGTATTCTTGTTTCCAACGCATAAAAGGAAATGTTGCAGACCTAGAAATATTAGATATTGAAGTTATCAACGCAAACCACACTGAATGTCTGGATAAACGATTCCGCAATGATTTCAAAGATCTCCAAGGAAACTTCATGCTTGTTGGAGAAAACAATAGTACTTCCTTGAAATTGGCAGAAGAAAATTTAAAATCAAAAACAAATATTTTTGGTATCTGTAGTCAGATAATCTATGGAAACAAAGACGATGTCCTGGCAGTCAAAGAGTGTGTAAAAATGCATATGGAAGGAGAGGATTTTCGCGAAATTTACACGCAGTTTGTGGATGTCAAATCATACGTCGCAGACGAGTATACTGCCATGGAATCTATTACTGACGAAGAAAAAAAAGAAAAGGTCCTCGCAAAATTAACCAAAGAAGCTTTTGAAAAACATTTGACAGAGTGGCGCTCTTTTACCCTTGAAGATTTTTTCGCCATTGCAAGTGTCTACAACGTAGAGGTGTTTGTAATACCAGTTCAAAAGGAGCAAACAATATCAAAGAATGATAGCAAGGGAACAAAATTGTTCCTGCCAATATGTGGGGGTTATTTGTTTACATTTAAGACTCCTTTTATTTTTCAGAAAATTTCTGAAACATTATTTAAAGGCAGGTTTAGTGCCACCGACTGTCTTTGTAACATGAGTGCACCAGAAGTTTGTGGTAATTTTCCAATGCTAAATGATGAGATTGATTTGAAGAGAAAGCAGAAACTTGGTTAGTATAGTCTTCAAACAAACTTCAATATTTAAGCAAACATTTGATGTATTAGTACTTTATTCGTAAAATGGATTTTTGGGGATTTTTTTTAATCTGAGGCCTGAATACAAATTACAGAGATTAGGGGGCGTCTTGAAATGCTAGATTATTAATTTTCAAGCTTCAATCAAGAGAGCACGGGATCTATCCTGAGTTAAATTCTATAAACCTTTCAATATTAGCACATGTTCATGTTTAGCTGCAGAATTGTAGCCTTCTAGTTTTATATTTTAGTCTTTGACCATAACGATACAGATCCAAAGATGCAAAAAATGTGCAATTTTTTGAGGAAGATTATTTGTGCAATGTATCTCCACTTTCCAACATTCGTTAATCATCTACCTTTTCATCCATAATTCTGGGCACCTTTTAAATGGATCTATATATTTTTTAAGCGCCCAACCTTTTAAATGGCCTCTTCAAGTGATAAACGCGCTTGAATTAGAATTTTTTTGCAACCACTCAAACAATTCATATAAAGCAAGTTTATCGCCTGCAAAGGTAACTATAAAGTGTTGAAAGGTGGATTAAAATATAAATTGGTTTAAGAATGTATAAAAAATTCTCTACGAATTACCCCCAAACAATATATTCTCAGGAAACAGTAAAACCTTGCAATTGGTGCCAACAAATATTGTCACCAAAGAATAACATGTAATATGATCCCTAAGTTCACAAGTTAAAAACAAGCTCTTTACCGGTACATCTAACGTAAATGCACAAAGATAAGATTTTCTTTGAAAACTTTACATGTGTAATTTGGCAATAACTCATATGGTCTTTTACAGACATTAAAACCTGTTGTCGAGAGAAAAAGAGACACGGACGTCACACTCATTTTCAACATCTATGGAATCAGGACGAAAGCGAAGATAACACTATGCGAGAAAGCAGTATTACCGATTATTGTAAACCAATGAGTAAGCACATAGAAAAAATTCTTGAAATAATGGAAGAAGAGGGGAAAACTTTAGATGCCATAGATGGAGGAAAAGGCACTCTTCAAATGTGTATAAGTAAGGAAATTTTTGACAACGAAAATACCAGTATACCTGTCAGGTAAGCACATGATTATACACATAAATATGTAAAAATCCATACAAATATACAAAGAGAGAGAGAGGGATCTACATGTATAAGCATCACCCTATTGAGATGTATTTAATCACTTGATGTATTAGATGTCAACATTCCAGAAAGTATGCAGAAAAATATTGTTTTAATGAAATGATGAACTGATATATAGATATATACATTTTAACCAAGAAAGTTTATAATACAAAAATCCATTTTTTCAATAAATTTCTATTGAATTCTAGCCTTGAATTACTGCTATATCATGGTTTAATACTAAATACAAGGACACCTGATACTAAATTTACTACAGTAGTTGTTAACTTTACAGCCTTCCGGAGGATGATCATTTGAAATTATTGCTGATTGGACAGAATTTCCTGTGTTTGTGTTTTTGTATTCCGGAAGTGTTTCCCAATGGGTTTTGATTTCACCAAGCAGATGCAACAAATCAAGAAGTTCTACTTGTCGATATTACTTGACCATACTGTACAATCGAGAGAGTGGGTATTTCGATAGAATTATTCCAAAAACTGGATGCAATTGTCTCCAGGTTCACCCATATGTTGCAGCATCAGAAAGGAGTAAGCCTTGTTAATATTCGCAAATATATTTTTAAATATACCAATGATTAATCTGTGAGAAGTATTTTTCTAACATTTATTTCATTATTATATTTATTTTTAGTACTGAAAAAAGTTAAGAACAGCAAAGTTACAGATGAAGAACGTCATTGGCCACTTGTGACGTTTTTGCCAAAAAAGCCTGAACCTGAAATGTTCACTGATGATAACCGTCAGGAAATGAAAGTTATACCGATGTATTCCGAAGTTCTTCTTATCATGGAAAGAGATGATATGCAAGATCGCCTGCTAGATAAAATGTCGGATTATGCGTATTCTCTTTATCGCTGTCTCAGCAAAGAAATTTTTGGAAATGAAGAGCAGTTTAAAATGATAATGATGGAAACAGTTAAGGAGATCAAGGAAAACCCAGATGTATATGGTCATCTACTGATGAAAGAAAAAGAAAACTCGGATTCCGATTTTTTTGAAAATTTCAAGTATCGGGCGCATCATAAGTTAGACTTTTTCAAATTCCACAAAACACTAGTTAAAGAAAGTGCATATTTTTTTGCCGATCGCATAGAAGATGGAATGAACTTGGGTGATTTAGAACTGTTTGCAGTTGCGACTCTTTTCCAAGTCCCAATCTATGTACTTGGCGCTAAAATGAATAAAAGAAAATTTGAAACAGAATGGACAATATATACACAGATGGTAAGAAAAAGGCAACCAACAGATTTTGCTGCTAGACGTCAATATCTTGCAGGAGAAAATGCAATTCACAAATGTGTCTTTGATGCATCGAGTGGATCCAATTACTATGTGGCTCTTTACCGGACATTTTCTGGGCATTATCATAGAATTGTACCGAAAGATCAAGTGTGCAACTGTCTAAAAGAGCCACCGCAGAATATTGTGGAAGAACATAAGCATGATGACCAGCCAGGTTATTGCATTATTATTATTAAATTTTATTTTTATAATTATTAATTCTTATTATAAAAAGAAATATATGCTTAAAAGGATTGTAAGGGAAAGTGGTATGCTGAAAGCTCAAGTGAGTTTTTCTGATCACATTTTGTTCGGTGACCGTCTGTCTGTCTGACCGTCCTATAGGGTCCGTCTGTCTGTCTGTCTGTAAAATTTTCCCATTTTCGACCTCTTCTCTAGAAACACTGCACAAATTTCAACCAAACTTGCTACAAACCACCCTAGGGTAAAGGGGTTTCAAATCTGTTCAAATGAAGGGCCAAGCCCTCATTCAAATCTTCTTTTCAACAACCACTGCGCCAGGAATGATGAAACTTATGTAGAAAAATCTTCAGGTAGTGTAGATTCAAGTTAGTTCAAAGCATGACACCCGGGGTTGGGCGGGGCCACAACAGCCGATCAAAATTTTACACAGAGATATATAGGTAAATTATTTGGAAATCGTCTCATGCATAAGCAAAGCCATGATTGATCATATTTATATGGAATCATTCTAAGGTAGTGTACATGTAAATTCAAGTCTGTACAAATCATACCCTCTCTCCTTTACGGAATGGTTTGGACTACTTTAGGGTTTTAACTTTTCAATAATAAACTAATTTCTGCTGATTTCCTAGCACAGTGCTCAGGAAAGCTATGTGGCCTTGCTTAAGTTTATAGCTAACCTGAGCCGAAGCTTCAAGTGAGCTCCTCTGATCACATTTTGTCCATCGTCCGTACGTCCAAGCATCCTGGAGTTGTGTAAATTCTAAATTCTTAAAATCATGACCCCCGGGGGTAGGACTGGGTCACTATAGGGAATCAATTTTTACATAGAAATATATTGGGGGGGGGGAAATAAAAATTCTTCTCTGGAACTACTAGACCAAGGAAAGCTGAAACCTATGTGGAAGCCTCCTGGGGTAGTTTAGATTTTAAATTGTCCAAATTGTGTCCCATGTGGTAGGAAGAGGTCACAACAATATGTATTACAAGGGGGGAAATTGGTAAATAACAGCATGGTCAAAGCTACTCAGGTGAGCGATGTGGTTCATGGGCCTCTTGTTATCTTTAGTAATTTATATCATGCAAACTGTATTTGGCATAATGCACGTACCCTTTTTTTATTGCAGATTTCACCATTTTTTATGAAATGACCAACGTAAAAAATAAATTGACTATAGCAAAACTACAACTGGACAACTGGTTGAGATGCAATATGGCACTTGAAATATTTTGCACCGATATAATCGATAAATTGGAGGGGCGTAGGCAAAACGCTAACATTTCAAATATCGTGGGATCCTCTGTTGGTCTTGTGGGATCAGCCCTGGCAATTGCTGGATTAGTTACAGCACCATTCACTGCAGGAGTTTCTCTTGGTTTAGCAGTTGCAGGGGGTGTTATAGGAACACTTGGTAGTGCTACTGTCATTGGAACCCAAATTACCGAATTCGTTTTAACTAGGGATGCTATATCAATGTTGGAAAGATATCAGATGAATTTACGTGAGAGGTCTCGATGCATGGAAAAGTCTTTATCAGATCTTCAAAAAGAGCTAGAAAGGTTTTTAACGGAAGACACAGACAATATCAGCGCAACAGCTGTTCAAACAGCTACCGGGACTTTGCGCATGCTTGGTGGGTTGCCAATTATCATTGCACGTGTTATTGTACGAGCAGCCACTCTTGCCGATGCAGTTTTGCCACCATTGTCAATAATCCTTGATCTGGGCATACTTGCATATAGCATCTACAATCTGATTAAAGGGTCGAAAACAAACGTCACTGAACGTTTACGCAAAGTCCGATCCGTTCTTAGAACGACGAGAATACAGATGTTTACTTGGGGATATGGAAATCAGAGGAACTACATGCAGACTATAGAAAATCTTAAGTTCGAGAAGACATAGTGTCAGCTATCGTATTCCCTTTTGGGAACATTTGTCATGATATTCATTTTCTTTAGGTTTACAAGTTTTCAAATGAAAAGGTGTTTTTGTTATCCTCCAAACTACTATTCTTGCGCAATTAATATGTACTAGAATCATGTAATGTTTTAGATTTTAATTGATAATGCCGACTGAATAACCAAACGGATATGCATATCGTTGCAAGGTAAATGAAAATTGATTCATTTCTATGAAATCATTATTCCTGTTGTTGTCTTTATTTGGACTCCTTATTTTTTCTACGTTTACCGGCATCTTTTTCCAGGCAAGACGAAAATCTTTTAATATCCCCGTAAGATTTGGGGAAAAAGTTTTTTGCCCTGTATGTCTGATTGTCTGTCTGTTTGACCTCAAAACATTAACTTTGCCAATAATTTTTGATTGGCTGGAGCTATGGATTTCATATGTGGTTCGTTTTTAGGGCCTTTCTTTGGGTACCAACTTTTTGAGCTCTTGATCCTGACCATTTTTTGTAAATAAAATGACCATAAAACGTTTGGAGAGATGCTGTTAGGAGCTTCATTCTTCATCTGTGTGTGATCATTCTGACAAAATTTTTACGAAGGATTTTCAAAACCTTTACCTTGACCTTAGACTTTGATCCTCTAAAAAAATAATCTTGGATACTACTTTTGCATCGTTTGTACTAGATCTTTCGTATTCTACAGGTATATCTTGTGACACGGCTATCTTGTCCCTTGGGTAAAAACAAATTGACTTTTTGACACTGAGTTTGACCTACTTTAGAAAATTTTAACCTTTCCTATAACTTTCGAACAGTTGTTGCTTGGAATAGGATATTTGTAATCATGGACGAAGTCGAGATGAGCTTATGCTATACCCCCGCGTTGGTATCGACGTCCCAGGTTTAAGTTTTAGGAGCAAGTCATTTCCAAGTAATTATAAGAACTGCTGGATCTTACTTATATTTTCCAGGTGAGTGACCAGGTTAAAGTTTATGAAGCAGGTCCATTCCTAAGTAACTATAAGACCTACCCGGACTAAACTTACATGGATGATACTAGTATATCTAGCTATAGGTATGAACACTACCAAACTTTCTTCGGATTCTGAATATGACCTATATTTTCCAGATTAGTGACCAGTTTAAAGTTTTTGGAGCCGATCCATTCCCAAGTAACGACAAGCCTTACTTAAACCAAACTTGCAAGGATGATGCATCCAGGGATGGACACTACCAGAATTCGTTCGGATGCTGGATCTGACCTACATTTAATTTCCAAACGAGTGACCAGGTTAATTTTTTGGAACAGGTCAATCCCCTACGAACTTTCAGACCTATTTAAACAGAACTTGCATGAACATTTTGTCAGGATAAATACAAATTATTAAGAAAATGGGATGCAAGATTTGCATTGCTTAAAATGATAACATTCGTCGATTGATTGATTGATTGATTGATTGTATATTGTTTAATGTCCCTCTCGAGAATTTTTCACTCATATGGAGACGCCACCACTTGCCGGTTGAGGGATACAAATTTTGTCCTATGCTCGGCACTCAGGGCCTTTGAGCAGTGAGGGATCTTTTTTGTGCCAACACCTACTGCGACACGGGGCCTCGGTTTATACGGTCTCATCCGAAAGACCGGTCTCCACGTCCCGCATAACATTCGTCGAGGTGGCATTCGTAATTTTTGAAAACGTATGTTAATCTTTCTTTTATCTGCTTTTTAGAATTTAGTAAATTATCATTTATTATCAAAATACACAACACGCGTTATAGGTTATTCGGTTGTTATCGGGCATTTGGTGCAAAAAAGGCAATTGTTTATCAAACATAAGTGATATTAAATTCTTTATTTATGCAACCATATAACGTCATCACTTGCATACTGAGTTTATGTATCTTGGTTGATTTGATAGTCAAGAGCATGCTTTACGTATGAACAACTTCTAAAAGGAGGTAAATTATTGATAAACAACTTGATGAAACAAGAATATCAGCATTCTCGTTTAAAGTCATCATTTTGTAAGTTCTTCGGTCGATACAATGACCTTGCAGCAAATACAATTTATCTTTGAGTCAAATGCTGACTGTCAGTCATTCTGTCAGTCCATTATTTATTCACAGAACTGACAACAGATTGTTTCGTTATTTTCCGATCAAGACAAGGAGCACACGGCAAAAATGACCGGTCAAAAGTGGTTGCTCACTCCTTCATGGCACCTGATCCCAACTCTGATGAATCGGAGGTTCGTGTTTGCTCTGCTCCTGTTCTGTATTGTTTAATGGACTTTTGATCTTGAATTCTGTTCGTTATCCGATAACGCGTTGAGCGGTGGGATTTATGTAAACAGGATTATCAAAATCATTGTAGGATAGAATTTTGTGAGAATAATTATCAAAGTACTAATTCAATAGAATAAACAAGTTATTTATTTTTATAAATAATTATCAGAGAAAGGCCCCAACTCTATCCATTAAACAGTGTTTTTTTTTGTTTGTTCTAAACTTTTTTGTGGTTTCGATATGAAATAGTAAAAGATAAACAATTTTGTTTTAAAGCTTTAAATTTATAAAATACACATTATCAAGTCAGTCAATCAGCACGTATTTTACGGGACATTATATACCCCATCCCTTAAAAATTAATGACTGAAAATTAAATCAAAACATGAACAGGGGGACTACAATGTGTTGTGCAAAAATGATAGTGGCCGTAAATTGTAATAAATTTACATAATATCAATTTTCATTTTTAATGGTTATACGGTTGCCCCTTTATTTTTTTATTTTTGGGGAAGTGGGGGGTCGTGGCCCCTTTGGAATTGCGTTATTTGATTTTCTTAAGGTATTTTGGGGTAAATAATCGCACCAAGAAGGTCGAACGACAAATGCAATGCGTAGGTGCTCAAAATACAAAATACATGCAGCTCCCATTACTTTCCTAGAAAAATGAAGCATCGGATCGATCGGAATGTCTATTTAGGTTCTGTACGCATAAACATTGTTTCAATTCTAATCCCCATCTCTAAACACCCAGCAAATTCTAGTCTATCCAGAGACATATTATAATCAAAGAGCCCCAAATCATTCTTACAGCGTTTAGAACAAATGTTGGGCATTCCTGTACCTGCTTTCTCTCCTCGTCCCAGCTGCCAGTCGATCTTCTCCATCCACACGCACTACCTCTGCATCTGCTTCTTCTCCAATATTTTTTCAAAGGGTAACATCACATTCCATTCTTTAAAGAATCCAAAGCAAAAATCATCAAAGAAGATAAATGATTGTTACCTGTAACTTACCTATCCTGTACAGACAAAGCAAGAGGTTCTTTCACGATCAATTGCAACTTGTCATGGTTTAATAGATATTTTTAAATAGTGATTTTAATATTCAAGAACTGGGTGCTTTATGTTCCAACAGGAATTTTGTGTAAATTTTGCCATCATACTGAAAAAAAATTGTGGCAGGTTAAACATTTTGATTAGTATAAATAAAAGATTTTTTTTCATTCTTTCCGTTTGCTTGTTTTTTATTTATTTGTTTTTTGGTGTACTGTTGGACTTTGGTTCTTTTTTAGACTATACTACGTACATTCTCATTTAGAGAAATCGCAATTACAAGTAATGATAAATCTTCATCTTACTGTCTTAAGTCCTTGTGATTTCTTGCTAATCTTTAAGATATAACTTGTTTGTCAATTTGCCTGTGCACTGTTTGTTATTTGGATTGATAAATAATGTATAAATGATAAATTATGTATAAATGCACAGTAGTACACTTCATAAGATTAGAATTATTAAATCCTTAAGAGAAACTTACCTGTACACAGATACATGTAGAACGCCTTGGGGTTCCTTCGTCAACTCGTACATATTTAGGTAATATATGACATTCTTGTCTAATGACATTTAAAAACTTAAAAGTCATACAAATTATAGCTTTTATTATTTAACTTTGTTACATGTATATAATGACATGCTAATCATTTTAAGTTTAACGTCAGTCATTTTTTTAATTTTATTTTTCTTTTCTATGATATTGCACGGTATGATATAGAAACGTATGAAGAAATGTATTTTTAATTTATCAAAATTTATAAAGCGTGAAGTCACTTGTAACTTTAAAGTAATAAAAAATTATATCTCTATAATTAACTTTGTTACATGTATAATATTGACATGACAACCATTTTAATTTTTACGTCAAAAAACTTCTAGTTGTAATTTCTATTCTATGTTACTGCAATTTATAAAATAAATGCATTTTAACATTTATAAAGCGTGATGTCACTTGTAACTTTAAAGTAATAAAAAATTATATCTCTATAATTAACTTTGTTACATTATAATATTGACATGCCAACCATTTTAATTTTTACGTCAAAAACTTCTAGTTGTATTTTCTATTCTATGTTACTGCAATTTATAAAATAAATGCATTTTTAACATTTATAAAGCGTGATGTCACTTGTAACGTTCTGTAAATCTTTATCTGGAGTCTAATAGTCTATCTTTTATCTTAAAAATTGTAAGATATACTTATAACTAGGTAATGAATTCAGGGACATATTATCTTAAATGACATTAACATTTAAATACATAGCATCACTCACAAATATGTTTTTAATTTGTAGAACTATTTGAGAGGCAAAACTATCACTTTGATTTTCGAGCTATATAATGCAAGTTTTACAAGAACGGTGTATGAACGCAAGTTTTAGAAGCCTTCCATAAGGTACATGCCTGATAGCTTATGTGACCTTAAATTGATCTATGACATACGTTTAAAAATTGTCGATGTCCTGTTTCTTTTGACTAATGACGTAGAACTTTCAAACCATCTTAATCTAACAAAATATAGATTAAGGAATTTTGGGGAAGGTTTTATGGTGGGAGTTTAGTATCAAAGGTGTATGGACAAATCTGAAATTTATAATTTCTGTATAATATCAAAACTAATATATTGTAATAGAATTTCTCACAAAAAAAAAATCTAATAATTTTATCTAAAAGTTTGTAATATTATACAGAAAATTTGAGAAAATATTAACCTCAAATCCGTGTCTATGCACCCTTACGCCTGAGAATAAATTGCAAAAAAGAAAATCTTCTTTGAAATTTTGTCACAAGAAACGGTCACCCATCCAAGGGCTATGCAGACTCGCTGAACAGAACATTGCTCAACGTGGTTGATCTTAAGGACAGATGATACAAACAATTTTTTTCTTTGAAAAAGATTAAATATCAAGTCACAAGTTTAGAAAAATGGGTGGTTCTTATAGTTTGTTCTCCTAAGAACAGGAATATGAAAAACCCAAGGAAAATAAAAGCAATATTTTTATGTAAAAACAAATATAGACAAATCACATTCAGTAAAGGTTTACAGGTGAAAACAAATTTCAGAATATGTTATCTTGGTGCTAAAAGTGTAATATAAACTTAAGAAAAGTATACCAAGCCAAGTGAATTTTATCAGGAAAAGCAAAAGGGTAGAATCAGCCTATGTGATATTGCTGATTTTTTGTCATTTTGTTTTTCCTCTAAAAATTCACCTGGCTTGGTATATTTTTCTTAAGTTTATACGTCACTTTCTAAACTTGTGACATGATATTAAGTTTATACGTCACTTTCTAAACTTGTGACATGATATTAAATCTTTTTCAAAGAAAAAAATTGTTTGTATCATCTGTCCTTAAGGGTATCTGTACCGTATCACTAGAAAAGCTACACAGTAGCTTAATAGCGAGATAAAAAGTCCCTATAAACTTCACTACACTTCCCCGCTCAAGAAAGCTTCGACCCAAGCTTAGTTTAAGCTCTCTTAGTGCTTGAGACCTCTTCAGTGACCGCAACCAATGCTGTTAGCGGACACAAATTCCGTACATGGATACGAAGTCCTAGCCCTGAAGTTTTTTTTAAGCAGGACGGATCCTATTCAGTTGGAGCAACCTCTGCTGTTAAACAGACATCAAGTCTGCAAATGGAAACAAAAGTCCTAGTTCTTGCGTTGATCATGATTTCCTGATGCAGGTCGCCAAATAATAGTAATAGAGTCACAGGAGGCAGTGGCCAACACTGCTACCTATTTTATAACGTAAAGCGGTCGTCCATCCAAGGGCTATACGGTCTCAATGTTGATTGACTTGACTCATGAAGAGGAAATGAGACGCTACTGCTTCACTAGAAAAGCTAGCTATCGCTAACTAGCAAGACAGAATAATTAAGATCCCCATGCATGCCAAAAAAATTTAATTTTAAGAATTTTAAACACCGAAAAATTAAAATCCTAAGATTAGAAGAGGTGAAAAATAGGGATATTTTGTCTCCTGCCGCAAAAATCACATGTATAATACAGACTGTACTACTAGTAATCGCTACAGTATATGCTTTTTAAAATTTGTCTTCTAATCCTACACATCTTGAATTCATCAAAAATGTGTTTCAAAATAAAATATTCACCTTTTTAGTTTCTTCTTTATTTTTCGGTCACTTGTTATCCGATTATTTGATTATGTTCGTCGTCGTGCGATGTTCGTCGTGCTTGGTGCTTTAACATTTGCACATTTTCAGCTTCTTCTCTGAAACCACTGTACTAATTTAAACAAATTTTGGAACATAGCATATGGCATAGATTTAGAGCCTCTTATGAGTGAAGGTGAACAAAAATTTGTGAAATTTATGGCCACTGCCTCCTGGGGCCTGAAGGCGGGGCTAAAGCCACCAAAATTAATGTCATTTTAAAATCTTCTTTACTTCTGAACATTAAGCAGCTAAACTCCATGTTTGTAATAAGAATTGGGTTCTGTACCGAAATTGTGAATTTTCATGACCCATAGGTCAGGGGCTCTAATGTTAAGAGAGGACTTTAGTGATTGAATTGTGAAATTGCATGAATTGTTTCATGATATACTCCTCTTTCTCTGGTATTAAACCAATGAAAAATGTACAAAGATATCATAAGGAAGGATGTCTCTTCCAAAATTGTGAATTCCATGGCCCCTAGGCCAGGGGTTCTGGTTTTAGTGCATGGCTCTAGTGATTATAGAGTGAAAATGCATGAAAATCTCCTTTGCTCCTGGTTATCAAACATATGGTATTTTACACAGTTATGGTGAGGAAGAATGCCTCTTCCAAAAATATGAATTTCATGACCCCTCAGTCAGGGGTTCTGGTATAAGGGAAAGGCTCTTTTGATTATAGAGTAAAAGTGCATGAATTGTTTGAAAATCTTCTATGTTCCTGGATATTGAACAAATGATATTTTGGTAGTGGTACACGGTAGTGAAAAATGCAATTGAATTATTTAAGAATCTCTCTAGATTGCTCCTAAGTATTATGCTTATAATCTTAGTATATAGTTATGATCAAGAGGATCCTCCTTAAGAATTGTGAATCGCAAGGTACCTTATTCAGGGTTTCTGGAGGGGGGACTTTAATGATTATGTACTGAAAATGCATTAATGCTTTGAAATGTGTTCCTTGGTATTCATTAAACATTTAGGATGAGTAATAACACGGGGGGCTTTTTTTAAATTGTGTTATGTGTGGCCCCGGGGTAAGGGGTTCCTGAAGGTTGAGGGCAAAACTGATTATAACTAATTAATGTTGATACATTTTCCTTTGTTTTACTTTGTTTCTAAGTATTAAGTAATCAAACGTAAAGCATATGCTACGTGTGCAGTTAAAATGACCGATGGTGCCTATTTTGAAATTGTTATTTTTTTTTTGTTTCGAATATATTTTATTGAGTTCATTTCAAAGGGATTGGATATAAGTTCCAAAAACTTAAATAGTCCTCTTCCAATTTTAACATTTATGGTCTCTTGAAAACAAGAACCATGAATTTGTTGGAAAGTTGTTACTAGTACATGATACTCAGATGACCTATAAGGTCCAAGGGCCTCTTGTTTTCTCTAGAATTTCAATTAAGCAAAAACAAAATCGTATAAATATATAGACATTCAATAAAAATATATTGTAAATAGGACGTATTAATTCTACGCATTAAAATAACTAGTATACTTTTTGCATGATAACCTTGCATGTACATGTATATTTAACTTGAATGTAATCAGTCAAGACCGTTGATATATTACAAAACAATACCAAGAACAAGAATCTAAAAATTGAATTGTTATCTTCCGAAAGAAAATTTAGTCATTTATATATTCTACATCTATCAACGTTGCGTAAATTTAAAAAAAATCTTACCCAACTATATTTTAAGTTTCATTACTTTTTCTCCGCTTGTAAAAGATTTTTTTCAGGTAAGTTGTTATTTATTATTCCTACTGCAATCTTCTACATACATCCAGGAATGATGACATTCCCCTGTTTATAGTGGATAGTTATGAAAATTATTTAAGAATTAAATGAAAATGGGAAAATAATTGTGTGTTTTCAGATCTAACACATCTAAAAGAACACTTCCCAACAATGAGTATTCAGGTTTGCTCACTTGACCAACTAAAGGAGCATTGCAATCTATCTTCTCATAACCATAACAACGATGAACTTTACACAATTGCTGGTAGTCTTACATCCACAAAGATGACAAAAAGCAAATGCCGTCAACATGTTGCAGAATTTGAGGAGAAACATTTGTTTTATTTTAGTTTATTCAAGCCCAAAGTTGATGATGCCTCAAAAACATGGATGACGAGAGTTAAAGAAGATATTAGAAACGTTAAGCGAAGTGGATTTGCTCCTACATTGCGAGAAATTTACGCGGTGTGCGAAATCATCAACACCATCATATTTCTGTTGTTCGAAGGACACGATAACACAATAAAAGCGTGGAAAATTCAGCCTGTAATTCGTGAAAACGAAACTGAAAAACAGCCGCTTATATTGCTTTTTATATCACATACAGAGGGACTTTGTTTCCAACGCATAGAAGTAAACGTTGACTATTTAGATGGATTGGATATTGAAACAATCAACGCAAATCATGCCGAATGTCTTGATAAAAGATTTCGAAATGATTTCAAAGATCTTCAGGGAAACTTCAAGCTTCGTGGACAAGACAATTTTACCTCTTCAATAGAATTGACAGAAGAACAGATCACACCAAAAACAAATGTATTTTCTCTATGTAGCCAAATTATTTACGGAAACAAGGTTTATGCCCAAGCTGTCAAGGAATGTGTAAAAATGCATATGGAGCAGGAAGATTTTCGCGACGTTTACATGCATTTTGTTGACGTCAAATCATACGTCTCAGAAGATGAGTACAATGGTATGGAATCTATTTCTGATTCGAAGAGGAAAGAAAAGTTTCGCTCAAAATTAATGAAAAAGGCTTTCGAAAAGCATTTGAAAAGGTGGCAGTATTTTACTATTGAAGAATTTTTCGCAATTGCAAGTGTCTTCAACATAGAGGTCTTTGTAATGCCTGTTCAAACGGAAGGAACTCTTTCAGAAAATGATACCAAGGGGACTAAGTTTTTCCTCCCTATATGCGGAAGTTATTTGTTTACATTTAAGACGCCATTGGTTTTCCAAAAACGTTATGACGAATCATATAAAGCAATCCTAGTTGACCAGGAATGTCTTTGTCTCACAAGTGTACCAGAAGTGTTTGGCAACTTCCCAATTGTGAATGATGAGATTGATCTAAGGAGAGTAAAGAAACTTGGTAAGCGTGCTCTACTTACATGTATACATTTATGTTTGATTGATTGATTGTATGTTGTCTTCCATCTCATTAAAGCATTTTCTCTGATGCAGTGTACAGAGATGTCACCATATGTTGATGAAGGGCTTCAAATTTAGACCTTAGGTCGGCATTAATGACCATTGAGCAGTGACGGTTCCGTACCTTCACAGATCTAACTCAGACAAAAACCTCAATTTATATGGTCTCATTTAAAACAAGAGGCCCATGGGCCTTATAGGTCAACTGAGCATCATGCAACAACTTTCAAATGATTGAATTTGGTTTATGTTTTAAGCTAGATGCAATGGCATTCACAATTTTGAAAGAGGCACCATTGCTAATCATAACTATACAATTAGCAATTATTTAGTTTGTTTACTTACTACCCATAAGCAGGGTAGGGGAACAAAAATGTATATCAACTTATCAGTAATATTCAGCAATAATCAGGAGTGCTCCTACCACACATGAACTCCTGACCTTAGGTCTACACATTGCACAATTTTTGAAAAGGCACACTTGCTTATAAAAATTAATACCAAGGAGCAGATTTCAAACAATTCATTTTCAGTATATAGGTAGAGCCCTCCCCCCGCCTCCATTGTGGTATCCCTGACCCAGGGGCCTTGAAATTCACAATTCTGGAAGAGGACCCCATCATAACTATATAAATATTTCATCTGCTTATTACCCAGAAGTGGAGAAAAAGATTTTAATAGATGTAATGTATTTTCACTATCGTTATAGAGCCACACCCTAACACCAGAACCCCTGACCATGGGGACATAAAATTCACAATTTTGGTAGAAACATTCTTGCTCATCATAACTATGTCCTTAATTAGTTTATTTAATACTCATAAGCAGAGAAGAAGATTTTCAAAGAATTAATGCATTTTCACTATATAATCAATAGAGCCCCGCCCTAACACCAGAACCCCTGATCCTGGGGCCATAAAATTCACAATTTTGGTAGAAGCTCTCCTGCTCATCATAACTATGTACTTAGTTAGTTTATTTTATACCAAGGAGCAGAGAAGAAGATTTTCAAAGATTTAATGTATTTTCACTATATAATCAATAGAGCCCCGCCCTAACACCAGAACCCATGACCATGGGGCCATGAATTTCACAATTAATGTGGAGACACTCTTGCTCATCTTAACTATGTACTTAGTTAGTTTATTTAATACCTAGGAGCAGAGAAGAAGATTTTCAAAGATTTAATGCATTTTCACTATATAATCAATAGAGCCCCGCCCTAACACCAGAACCCCTGACCCTGGGGCCATGAATTTCACAATTTTCGTAGAGGACTCAATGCTTATTACAATCATACCAACAGTTTGACTGCTTGATGTCCGGGAGAAAAGAAGAAGATTTTTAAAGATTGCACTAATTTTAGTTCATTTTAATTTTTGTTCCCCTTTACCCATAGATGCTATATGCCAAAATTGGTTGAAATTGGTTCAGCGGTTTCAGAGAAGAAGCTGAAAATGTTTAAATGTTAACGCACGACGCACGACGGACGACAGACGACGGACGACGACGGACAAAAACAGATAGCAATAGGTCACCTGAGTTTACTCAGGTGACCTAATAACCAACTTCAATTGCCCGGCTCTTTCCAAAAGACCAATAAGACATGAAGACCTAATTTTACATTTTGATTAATGCGGTGTGAGGATAATCAAACCCAAATTAAATTTGTTTAACAGTTTGTGTTTTATGGGGTCTGCTTTAGCATGCTCTCTCTCTCTCTCTCTCTCTCTCTCTCTCTCTCTCTCTTGTAAAGTGTAAAGGTACTGCAAGTAACATCAAATATGAATTGTATGTCTCATTTTTGTCTTTAAAAATGCATACATACTAGTTGAATTTTTGTATTTTACATTTAATCGAGCATATATAGTACTTAGTATTTGTTTTATAGATATCAAATCATGTTGTCCAAGCCTTGGTAGACATGGTCGTCACAGACATTTTGAGCATCTTTGGAATCATGATGAACCAGAGGGAAAAATAATGCAAGAAAGCAGAATTAGTAAATATTTTACTCCGATGAATAAGCATATAGAAATAATTCATGAAATAATGGCTGAAGAAGGAAAAACAATAGATGCTATCAACGGAGGGAAAGGCACTCTTCAAATGTGTATAAGTAAGGAAATATATGACGAAGAGGATGCAAGGATACCTGTCAGGTATTATGTTTTACGTATCTTTTTTTCTTTAAAAATATATTTAATAAGCAAATTGAATAAATTTGGCAACAAATATGCAATACCTGTAAACATGTCAAGATTGTTGCTGTACATTATCTTCTAAATCTACAGTCTTCCAGTTGATGATGTACAGAAATCATTTGAGAATGTTGCCGACTGGACAGGAATTCCTGTGTACGTGTTTTCATATTCTGAAAAAGTTTTTCAATGGGTGTCCATTTCTCCAAAGAAATGCAACCCAACAAGGCGTTCCAAATGCCGATATTACATGACCATACTGTACAATCGAGAGAGTGGATATTTCGATAGAATTGTTCCAAAAAATGGGTGTAATTGTCTTCAGGTTCACCCATATGTTGCATCATTGCAAACCGGTGAGCAATTATCTTATTATTTTTATATAATCGTCAATTTTATTTAGAAAATCATCAAGGAATTTTTGATGACCTAGTAAAAACTTAAAAACATAAATTTCCCAGCCATGTTTCATTCATTTGATGTAAGTCAACTATATATATATTTTTCATAATTAGAATTAATCGAAGTGGGCAACTGCACGGTGCCTTCGAAAAAGTGTCATTGGTCACTTCTGACATTTCTGCCAGAGAAACCCAAAGATGAAATGTTTACTGATGACACTCTGCATGAAATGAGGGTCATACCGATGTACTCCGAGATTCTTCTTATCATGGAAAGAAAGGACATGCAAGATCGTTTCCTAGATAAAATGTCGGATTATGCGTATTCTCTTTATCGCTGCATCAGCAAAGAAATTTTTGGAAACGAAGAGCAATTTAGAATGATAATGAAAGAAACAGTAAAGGAGATCAAAGAAAATCCGGGTATCTTTGGTCATCTGCTGATGACTGAAAAGGAAATCTCTGATTCGGATTTTTTAGAAAATTTTAGATATCGAAAGCATCGAACATTTGATTTTTTCCGATCTCATAAGAAAGTGGTCGAAGAGAGTGCACATTTTTTTGCTGACCGCATAGAAGACGGAATGAATTTGGGTGATTTAGAACTGTTCGCAGTTGCAACTCTTTTCCAAGTTCCAATTTATGTGCTCATTGCTGAAATAAATGAAAATAAAGTGGAAACAAAATGGGTGTCATTTACACAGATATGGAGAAAAAGGCAGCCCAGTGATTTTGCTGCCAGAATTCAATATTTTGCAGGTAAAGAAGATCACAAATGTGAATTTGACCCGTCGAGTGGATCCAAATACTATGTGACTCTTTACCGCACATTTTCAGGGGATTATCATAGAATTGTACCAAAAGATCAAGTGTGCAACTGCCTGAAAGAGCCACCCCAGAATATCTTGGAAGAACATAAGCATCATGGACAGCCAGGTGACTATCTAAACTGAAGCAAAATGACATTAACGTTGACAGATTAAACTAGTTGTCACAAGTTATAAAACGCATCTTGGCGTTTTCTTTTCATCTAACGTTTTCTTTTATTAGTTTAATATGTGTATCAATGGCATTTTTCCTTTTCAGATTTCAGAATTTACTTTGAAATGCACAATATAAAGAGCAAATTGACGATAGCAAAACTGCAACTGGACAACTGGGTGAGATGCAACATGGCACTTGAAATATTTTGCACCGAAATCATAGACGTATTAGAGGGGCGTAGACAAAACGTGAACATTTCCAACATCGTGGGATCCTCCGTAGGACTCGTTGGATCAGCTTTAGCAATTGGGGGATTAATAGCAGCACCATTCACTGCAGGGGTTTCTCTTGGTTTAATAGTTGCAGGTGGCGTTATTGGAACACTTGGTAGTTTTACTGTCATGGGATCCAAAGTCACCGAGTTCATTTTAAGTAAGGATGCAATATCAATGCTTGAGAGATATCAGATGAATTTGCGAGAAAGGTCTCGATGCATGGAAAATTCTCTCTCAGATCTCCAACAAGAAATGACAAGAACATTTCTTATTCATGGCGGATTGCCAGTTATCATAGGGCACGTGATTTTACGAGCAGTCACCATTGCTAATTCAGTTTTACCTCCATTGTCCGTCATACTTGATGTAGGCGTACTTGCATACACTATTTCAAACATGAAAGAAGGATCAAAAACAAACGTCACTGAACGCCTACGCAAAGTCCGATCCGTTCTTAGAACTACAAGGATTCAGATGTTTACTTGGGGGTACGGAAATCAGAAAAATTACATGGAAGCCATGAAAAATTTAAAATTCAATTAGAAATATTTTGTTAAATGTGTTTGGTTGAGGAAATATTTGAAAATTTGTTGTTGTTTTTTTCATTTTGTGCATCAAGTCACAGTATATAAAATTATACATGTACATGCAAGTATGAACTGTGCAGAAGAGTATAGTACATCACTGGTTATAAAGTCTAAATAAAGCTTCACCAGAGGGCAATTGAACAATTTACAAGAGTTTTATTATTCTGAGGAATATAAATTTAACAAAAATAAATGTAAAAAATATCACTCAATCCCCTTTGCTCTCCTATCCACTGCTTTTAAAATGCTAGTATGTGTACAGAGAACTACCGGCACCGTTAGAACGTATTTACCGATCCTGCAAATTGTCAATATTTTATGATTCCGCATACATTTTATTTTCACCTTAACGTAAGTTAATGGTAACAAATACAGATATAACCCTGCATGCTTGCTTGTATATTTTTGTCATTGTTATCTTAAACGACTCAGATAACGTTTTCGCCCTGCGCGTGATCTATGAGGGAGATGTAATGAATTTTCTCACTGCATTTAACGTGCTTTATACTAATCAGACTATTTTACTATTCAGTGCATTACTCTGAAGGACAATAATATGAAGTATGCATGAATTGCATTCAGTTCTGATGCATGAGGATTGAAAATCTTTTCCGCATTTGTTTTTGATACTAAATTATTGAACTTTTTTTTCTGTACACGAAGGTGCCAAAAAGGCAATTTTTTTTATATTATCCACAATGTTTACAATTGTTTTTGAGTATTTACAGTTATTTTGGAGTTTGAAAGTAGAAAGAAGTATTTGCAGGATGTTTTATAACTAAATGCAAGATCGGAAAAAAAAACCTAAAGTAAACGATAATTAAATTGGAGTGGAAAAAATAGTGATTTATTACAAATATGCAAAGATGAAGTGGTTGTAGTTCATGTACATCCTGATTTCTAAAAAATTAAATTCATTTCATTTACTTTTTTTAATGATTTGCCACATTTTATGTCATTCATTGATCATTTATGACAAAAAAATCTGCACTAATTTTTTTCCTTCAATTTCATCAGAAGGAAAATATTCTTACTTATCTACAGTAGTTGATTTTGTCAATATTCAGACGATGTTACCCCCCCCCCCCCTCCTTTCCAAATACCTCTGACACAGGGACCCAAAAATTTACCATTTTGGAAGAGGCAGCTTTCTTCATCATAAATATGTACATCGATCATTGGCGTAATATCAAGGAGCAAAGGAAAAGATTTTCAAAGACTTTATGCATTTTCATTAAATAAACATTAGAGCACCCATGCCCTAACACAAGAAGCCCTGACCCAGGGTCCATGAAATTCACAAATCTCAAAGAGACATCCTTCCTCCTAATAACTATGCACTTAGTTCATTGGTTTAATATCCAAGCGCAGAAAAGAAGATTTTCAAAGATACAATATATAGGCCCAAGGGCCATGAATCGCTCTTCTGATAAATTGTACAACCTATCACTTGTATTTGAAGCATCTAACCCTATTTAGTATCCTAAGACCCAGGTTGCATCACCTGACAAAGTTTGATGATTCTTAGCCAATTAAGACTACTTTTTGGTCGACATTCTCCGAAAACCCAAGATGCATCAACTGACAAAGTTTGATGATTCTAAGCCAATAAGTACCGGAGAATACTTAAATATAGCCATAAAATGTCGAAAGTAGGTCACTGTGACCTAATTTTTGGTCATCACTCTCCGAAAACCCAAGATGCATCAACTCACAAAGTTTGATGATTCTAAGCCAATAAATACCTTAGATACTTAAATATAGCCATAAAATGTCGAAAGTAGGTCACCGTGACCTACATTTTGGTCGACATTTTTCAGAGTCCCAAGATGCATCGCCTGACCAAGTTTGATGATCGTAGGTTTGAAGGTAATCAAAATATGCCTTTTAAACAATTTGAAAACTGCAAAATTCTAAAAGTAGGTCACAGTGACCTACTTTTTCTTAAATATGTTTAAGGTTCCAAGATGCAGCAACTTACAAGATTTGATGATTCTAACCCTTTCAGTGCCTGAAATAATGGGATTAAATGTTTTAAAAAGGATAAGTCATGAAGTTTAAAAAGTAGGTCACGGTGACCTACTTTTAAGTTGACGTTGTTCAAGGACCCAAGATGCATCAACTGACTAAGTTTGATGATCATAGGCCTTAAAGTGTCCAAAATATGCCTTTAAATCAATTTGAAAACAAATGCCCGCAAAATTAAAAAAAAGGTCAGCGTGACCTACTTTTGAGTTAACATGATGTGAAGTCCTAAGATGCATCAACTTACAAGATTTGATGATCCTAGTCCTTATAGTAAGCAAAATATAAACATTTTTATTAATTGTAAATGTAGGTCAACTTTAAAGTGACCTTGAGACCACGCCCTTTGCCCAAGGGCCATGCCTTCAACAATTTTTAATCTTCAACATATCCTGATCCTTGTATGTAAGTTTGGTGAAAATCTGCCTGGTGGTTCTGGAGGAGAAGATTTTTTAGCAACCAGTACTTTTGGTTTTGTTTTCCTGATTATCTCCCCTTGTTTTAGGGTCCCAACCCTTATTTTAGTACAAATGGTAGCCCTTGGGCCAAGGATACCCTGTGACAAATTTGACACTGATTGGTCAATGGGTTCTTGAGTTATGGCCCATATTCTAAAACGTTAACGCACACCGCACACCGCACGATGCACACCACACAAATGGCCATACCATTAGCTCTTTGAGCCTTTGGCTCAGAAGAGCTAATAATTCATTTTCCCAGACCCTATTTAATCTTTATAGCCTTGGCACCCTGGCACTAACACCCCTAACCCTGGGACCATGAAATTCACAATTTTGGATGAGGCAGCCTTCTTATTCAACATAACTACGCACTTGGTTAGTTTTTTTTAATGTCCATGAGCAAAGAATAAGAATTTCAATGAATTTATTCATTTTCACTATATAATCTATATAGCCCCACCCTAGAAAAAGAAATTCCTGACCCTGGGGTCATGAGATTCACAATTTTGGAAGAGGTAGCCATTCAACAAAACTATGTACTTGGTTAGTTTGTTTAATGCCCATGAGCAGAGAAGAGTTACAAAGAATTTATGCATTCACTATATAATCTATTTAGCCCCGCCCTAGCACTAGAACCCCTGACCCTGGGGCCATGAAATTCACAAATTTAAAAGAGGCAGTCTTATTCAACTTAACTATGCACTTGGTTATGTTATTTAATGCCCAGGAGCAGAAAAGAAGAACTGAAAGAAATAATGCATTTTCAATACATATTCTATGACCCAAGGGCCATGAATTTCACAATTTTGGTAGAGAACTCAATGCTGATTACAATCATGCAAACAGTTTGACTGCTTGGTGTCCAGGAGTAAATTAGAAGATTTTTAAAAATTGCATAATTTGAGAGATTTTGCCCCCCCCCCCCCGGCCCCAGGGGGGCAAGGACCATGAAATTCACAAATTTTGTTCCCCTTCACCCATATATGCCAATATCGGTTGAAATTGGTTCAGGGGTTTCAGAGAAGAAGCTGAAAATGTTCAAATGTTAATGCACGACACACGAGGAAGGACGAGGGACAAAAACGGATAGCAATCGGACACCTGAGTTAACTTAGGTCACAACTCAGGTGACCTAAAAATGGAAATATATCTTAAATCATATCAACATGCCATGTAGAATATTAATTGTTAGAATTACTTTACATCATAAAACATCTAATCGAAATTAAAAACAGAATTCAAAACGTGATAAAATAAAACTATTAATTTATACAATGCAATGTAGATGTACAAATCTATGTATGCACTTGTAACACATTCTTGAAATAAAAACATGATTCAATTTGGTCTTTATTTACTATTATTTTATTTACAATTATTTTGGAGTTTGCAAGTAGAAATATTTGCAGGATCAAACTCAATGTCGAAAATACCAAAAATAAAGTTTAAAATATGTTATATCTTCGAGTGGATTGTATATTTTATAATTATAGCCTTTTGACGAGGTCAATGGATTGTACCGAATCAAAAGACTACATTTGTTTTATTATTTTTTATCTAGTTAATTAAGGAAAGACTCTAATTCTTAGCCAAATTATTCGATTATAACCTGGTTTGGTTTGGTTTACGCTTTATAATCCGCGAAGCTGGTTGTCAAGGGGGAGTGTCCTCATACCAAACCAGGTAATTGAGAAATATTTTGCGTTCCTTTTTGGAAATCACCAATGGAAGACTAGAATGCAAACAAAATTAAATTATTAAGAAATATCTTAAAATCACTCCTTCTAATACTCAGTATCTTTTAATATAATGCATTGTTATGTCATTTGCATTATGACGTCACAGTAATGAATACCAGCTGCAGTATCTGTTTTTAGAAACATCCAGTCTATAAAGACTTTTATGTATGATGTCAGCAGTATTATTGCTTCACAGAAGAATGTTTCCAATTTTAGAAACAGCAGGTTTATAAATAATGATAAAAAAGGCAGATCAAGTCTACATTATAATTGCATGTAGCACAGGATGACGTCCTAATACGGTGGATGAAACATTGGAGAAAATATACTGTCATTTTTATACAACAGTCGGCACAATTATAAAAAAGTGTTGTACTGTTGTAATTATAATCTTTTTCTTTAATTTTGAATGTTCCATGCTTTAGGTATAATAGACATGAGTCTTCTTTACATCATGAAAAAAAAATATTTTTTCATTTTTCTTTATTAAACAACAAATAATGTTAATATTTTTGCTTATCATTTCAATTGCCTTAATTAATTAGGTATTTAAAATATGAAAATTAGTTTAAGAAAAAATTGGTTGAAACTGTGTCCATGTCTCTTTAAGAAACATTCAAAATTTTGATATGCTCACCATTTACCTTAAGAACTGCGGACGACAGTATTGTTCTCTCGCCTACCTCCAAGTCAATTTTCAAAAGTTAACATACTTGAAGAATTTTTTTATATTTTTTATAAAAGTTTCCTTTTACCTCA